TATATATATATATATATATATAAAACACATACACATACATGTATACATATAAAATAAATAGAACTGTCATATAATTCTACTCACGGTTTTGTAAAACATGCAGGCTTGCCTATCTTCATCTTCGCCTGTAGGACAGTCTATAAAGCCGTCGCACAAGACATGATCGTCGATGCAATGATATCTACCCATTCTATCCGCAGTTGGGCAAGCAAATCTTTCCATTCCGTCTTCGGAGACTGGACATTCTGTAAATAAGATCGCAAAAATTATTTTTCAATTTGAAGACTAATTTCAATTCAATTTGAAGACACTATACTTATTATTAGATAGAGGTTCAGGTATTACCCATATAAATATTAATATTATCCGATATTTCGACCAAAAAAATCTCGCATGAAAAAGTATTGCGGAATTGGAAAACGCAGTAACGGAACGGAATAAGTATCATCTTTCCAACATAAAAATTCTCATGTAAAATTCATATTATTTCAGTTATTGTTTTCATTACTTCGTCAATACTTTTTCTATTGACTATGATCATTTTTGATATGTCTAGTTTCTGTGGTTTATCAAAATAAATATTTTTTCCATTATTATTTAAAATGTCAATTAAATTAATTACAAGACAGTTACCGCATAGAATTTTTCATCTATAATTGTGACAGTTAATATAAATTTAATCGTCGTTAATTGGCAGTTACATCAATGTCTAAATATACATTTCAGTATACTTAATATTCTCGCAGCATGTTCAGTATTACATGTAGTTGACTGATTCTCCGTGTTATTTGCCCAGCATGACGGTGTATTTCAAAAGCCCGTGTACTCAGTGTACGCTAAATGTGGTTAGTTCTCCGTGCTACTTGCTTAATACGAAGATCTCATTCAAAGCGCGTAGGATGAGTCTTAGTAAATGTAATGCCAAATATGTACAATGAGAGATATGGGTCGACGAATGTAAATTTCGATGTTAAACGCGATGTGATTATTATCGCGATAACAAGACGGATATTCGTAGCATTTTATATTGTGACCTATCACTTTATATATCGTGACCCGAACAGATCAGCACATGATAAAACAACGCTTGACCAGCCTCTGTTTTACGTTTTTATAATGATTCTCTTTTCAAAATAATCTGATATTTTAAGGAAACTTTTCAATAAAAAGAACCTCCGCATTCCACACATTCCTCACATTTGAAATTTCTCAATATCATCTACACGACCGAAGGATGTGTAGTGGCATACCCTATTCGGCTTATTTCACGCCATCGTCTTGTCGCGGATTTGCCCCGTCGGCGCTCTCTTCGATCAATAAATTTGGGAGGGACGGTGGGCACGCTTATGCGACAGCGTTTCGTCACTTTTTCTTTATTTGCAGAAGCGCTTTGTCTGTATTTCTCGCGCGCGACGCATTTTATTTGGATTTATAGACCTGTTCTATTCGTGTGTAACTCACACCATGTATATCTGTATCATAACGTACTCATTCGAGTCATATTTCAAAAAATTAGAACAACTTTCATATTTTTGTATAAATGCGGATTTTCAGAGAAATCGAGATTTACGAGGAATACACATATCAATTGCAATGAGCTTTCTCTTCTTGAAATTTCTAAACTATCACTATTAAATTTATTTTTTTATTAAATAAATACGTTATTTAAAAATTCATTTTATCTAAATTACTGTTTTTTTAAATCCTTCAGTCAGATATGTAAAATATAAGTAAATTTAAAAAACTGATTTTATGAATTTGCAAATTCATTTTTACAAGTAAACAAATTTTTCTTTGTTATTTTTATTTTACAATTTTTGATCTATTTATTTTCATTTTCACGAGAAGCAACAAAGATTTAAAGTAAATTAGTTTCTCATAATTATAAAATATCCTTATGTTTTAATTCGTCTTTGTTCGACATTCGATCTAGCTTTTCATTTCAGAATTATGTCAAGAAGTGATTGGAATATTAGGAATAAAAGAGACAAAAAAGTAAGATAGTTACAAATCTGTTTCCTCGTTTTATATAATTTATTATGTATTATATTATTTATTATATATTATTTAGTTTCACAAAAATAAAACTTTTTAAATTCATTTTAATCTATATATTTTTCAAAGAAATGAAAAAAACGTGAGAGAGAGGATTATGTTTTATCAAAGTTGAAATACATTTTTATATATGTATGAAAATTTTATATATATGTTCTTCTATATCATTATCAGGAAATTTGACATAATGTTATCGAAACATTTAAAATGGATTAACGTATCTCTGTAACTTATGATACGAGAAATCATATGATATGCGTTGATATTCATCAAATAAAAGCTTAATCAAATTGATTTTTGCAGAAAAAATTTCTTTGTATACAACTCACAAAATTGATCAAACGTTTTAAAAACCTCATAAATTTTTACTATTTATATAAATGTGTGTGTTAATAATATTTATAATAAATATGTATAATAAAAGTAAAGAAGAAAAAATTAGGCAAGTGAAACAAATTTTTATATATTTTTATATATTTTATTTTATTTTAATATTATCAGAAGGACATTGAAATTTTTGGAATTTTTTAACCTTCCGAAACTGACGTGAATCTATTAAACTTCTTCAATTATAAATCTCTTTATCAAAAATGTCAAACAATTAAATTTTCTTTGTTACAGGATTGAATTCTTAGTAAAATATACATAGTATTTATTCCTTTTTGTTACGTTATATTATTTTGGTTCCTTGAAATTAATACCTTTTATCTCTTTTCATTCATATATAAATTAAATGGATCTTACAGATTTAGCGTCAGTAACTATTTATACAGATTTTGACATCAGCTCCGAAGGATTAAACACTTATGAGTGAAAAACGCTATATTTAGTCGATGTGGTTTTTCGTTTTCATATTTCTTGTGAATTTATATAATTTCCAATTTAAATTAACTATGCGTCAATTATTTATCAGTGAAATACAATCCTAAACTGAAACTGGAGTAGTAATATCATAAATTATTGAAAAGCAATTTAATATTATTGCTGTAAAAAATCGTGGAAACTATAAATAATTCATATTCGCGAAATTGCGAAAAATATTTACCCCAGAATTCGAATCTTCTATAATCCGGAGGATTAAAGCACATGATAAATTTTGTTAATCAATGAAACATTTTCGTGGACTACTCATAAATATCTATATGCAAGGAGAGAATATCACTTACCGATCTGCGGCACGTCGTATTGTATGCTTCCTCGGATTGATCTTAGCATAAGCTGTGAAGCGATGCTCGCGCCAGCGGACGACGTCGAGGATGCCGAGGACGCCGAGGACGCTTGAGCCTGGTGTCCCGGAGATTCTCCTTGCGCGTCGATCGAACGCCGCCCGACCGTTATCTGATTCCGTTTAGTTCCGGGTAGTTTGTTTCCGCTAGTCTCATAGACGAAGGCCTTAGGTACGAAGCCGCCATTCGTAGGTAAGTTAAGCGGGGTGCCGCTCTCGGCGCGCGCGAGATCAGTCTTCGTACTCGTCGCAGTGTTAAATCTCTGCTCCGCGTAGAGATCATCGTGATTCGATTGTCTAGATTCCTGAAGAGTGGTAGCCTTCTTGCCAGCCTCGTCGCATACCAATATCGGTAGACTGAGCGGACCTCTCAACGGATGCCGGCATCCGATGCGCCGCTTCTTCTGACGCTGATGGACCTGCCGACCACCGAACAGATGATTGCCATCGTCGTGAACGTAGGACTCTGCGACGTGAGGCTGCGTTGCAGCGTGTGGCTGCGACGTTACGTACTCGGAATAGAGAACGTTCAACACGGCGGGTGACAGGGCAAAGAATACGTTCTGGAGCTCCCGTGGCTCTTTGACAATGTCGTCGATCAGCATACCCGCGGGCGACCACGAGGATATCCGCGGCTCGTCGTTGAAGACCAGCCAGTTCGACAGGTCGTCCCGGTAGGGACCATCGGAAGGATATATTTTTAGATGCAACAGGTTGTTACCTACCGAGCTCAGTTCGCTCTTTTTTCTAATGCTACTGCTTCCGTGACGATAGTCAAGTCCCTGTGTGCCTTGTACTTGTATAATCACGGGTCGATTGCCTACCGCCAAATCCAGCCCCTGTCCCACGTAGGTGAGAAGCCAGAACATGCAAACTGCCATTTTACAAATCATTAACGCTTTTTAAGTCCCTTTTTTCTCTATTTTTTTATTCTCTTCTTTTTTTTCTCTCTTTCTCTCTCTCTCTCTCTCTCTCTCT